ATTGAAACAAAGAGTTTCCTTTTCTTGTATAGCAGCACTAATTCTATGGATTGTCAGTATGCATATGTGAGCACCATGTTGGACTTCAAGATTTTTATATATATTTTTTAATTTTAGTAAGTTATTAGTATAATTCGTCAAGCATGTCTTTGCATTGTTCTTACATATGCGTACAGTATTGAAATATGTATCAGAGACATTGTAGAACATACTTTTTTTAAAAAGAGTAACGAATGGAGTTTCTTGCTCGTTCTTCTCCATTCGAATCTACTTTTTGGAATGAGCACCTAGCTTCACCTAGTTTCACTGACGGACTGACTGACAGACTATTATTTATTTTGTATTTGTTGACGTTTCAAAAGTACCAAACTATGGTTTAATTGAAATAAATGCTTTGACTTTGACTTTGACTTTGACTTTGATCTACTCGTACTCGTGAGAACTAAAACGGCAAGTTGGCAATTTACGTGCTAGGTATAATAATAGAAATTGTATCAATACTGTCACAACATGTTGAAAACGAAATATTAATAGAAACGAATAGACCCAAACGCATATAGGTAAGTAAATGGACTGACTATTAAGCGGTTAATCAAGCGCACTGATCATCTGATCGCCTGATCATGGTGATGGACACGCGGAACACCAGAGGCGTTACAAGTGCGTTGCCGGCCTTTTGGGGATTAAGAAATTAGGATTGTTGGATTCAGGGATTGGGGAGATAGTGTAGGGGGTAATTGGGTCTCCGATAACTTCAATCATACGAAGAAACAACGCAAGCGTTGTTAGGCCGTAGACGTTAATTACAAAAGAAATTAATTACACATACAAACAGGAGACGGTAATAAATCAAACAATTACGAAATGATTTCGTAATAAATCACAATATTTTGAGTATACACAAGGTGTGAAACTCAAGCCCCATTGAGTCGTAATTGAGCAATTTAAACAAGAACGCCTGTAATAATTTTAATCGCAATATTCACTTTGAGCCGACGATACAATTGCGTTTCAAATTACTGTAGGAGCTTTCAAAAATATGTGCGAAATTAGGCGGCGGCAATAAAATTAATCATTATTAGTATTATTTATAGTAACTATTAAATATTAATATATCTACTGTTATTTACCCGCCTCGTTAGCCGAGTGGTCGCAAGTGCGGCTGCCGGGTAAAAGGTCTCGGGTTTGATTCCCGTGTCGGGCAAAGTATCAATGGTTTTAAAAAAAATCTCAGTAGAAGCACGGAGTCTGGAGTTGTATCCGGTATATGACAATAGGCTCACCCCCTATTACACGGGACTCAAAACATAAATCGTGAAAAGTGAGTGTTACATTGTACACCTAACCTTTCGGGGATAAAAGGCATGATGTAATTTAACTGTCTGCTTTTATTATCTACTGGCGATGATGGCATGAAGTTAACTAACATTAACATAGTTTACAAGTACCTATGAAAAAATATTGTGATGTTTACTCGACTTAAAATGTTACTTAAATACTAAATACACTTTTGTAAGTAAGTATTGAAGGGCTGCGTCTTCTGAAATTGAAAGTTTCAGCACCAAAGTAAACTGAAGACGCGGGGTTTTGAACAAAGTTTTTCAATATTCATTCTCAACTTTGTTGAACTTCAAATAAATATTAATTGAACTGTCCTCGATCTGCTGGTACATAAGTATTATTGTGTAAATCATTGATCTAGTGGACATAATGGAATTTATTTGTATATTCTTTATTCCTTTACATTTATATTTTAAAGAGATTTAGAGATGTTCTTCTTGACGGACCCCATAAGGCGTAAAGCATCCGGAATCAGTGTTGATGAAAAGTATTCTGTAATATTGTATTTTAATCCTTACTAATATTATAAATCTGAAAGTGAGTTTGTTTGTTTGTTTGTTTGTTCCACCATCACGCCGTAACTACTCAACCGATTGCTTTGAATTTTTGCAGACGTAAAGTTAGAAGTCCGGATTAAATAATAGGGTACTTTTTAACCCAAAAAAATTGATATTTCCGAGGAAAAACAAAAGTATTGGTATAGATGGCGCTGTGTGTATTCGTATAGATGGCGCTGTATGCCATTTAAAACAATTCAACGAATTACCTACTAATTGGAAATTTCACACAATCTACACTTATTCGGTTCACTTTTCGACTCATTTATTTGCTGTTTTATATGGTAACGTTGTGTTTTTTAAGTATTTTTCGCTTTTAAATTTTGGTTCCTACCATTTTATATTGAATTGTGTATTTTATAGATTTTAGGTTCTAAAAGGTACACGAAGTTGGTATCTATATAGTAGTTACGCTACTTGGCGATAGATGGCGCTATGTACACTTATTCGGTACACTTTTCGACTTATTTATTTGCTGTTTTATATGGTAACGTTGTGTTTTTTAAGTATTTTTCGCTTTTAAATTTTGGTTCCTACCATTTTACATTGAATTGTGTGTTTGATAAATTTCAGGTTGTTAAAGATACACAAAATTGGTGTCTATGAAGTAGTTACGCTACTTGGCGATAGATAGCGCTATCTACAATTATTCGGTGCACTTTTCGACTCATTTATTTGCTGTTTTATATGTCATTTTAAAAACATGATAACGTTGTGTTTTTTAAGTATTTTTCGTTTTTAAATTTTGGTTCCTACCATTTTACATTGAATTGTGTATTTTATAGATTTTAGGTTCTAAAAGGTACACGAAGTTGGTATCTATATAGTAGTTACGCTACTTGGCGATAGATGGCGCTATCTACACTTATTCGGTACACTTTTCGACTTATTTATTTGCTGTTTTATATGGTAACGTTGTGTTTTTTAAGTATTTTTCGCTTTTAAATTTTGGTTCCTACCATTTTACATTGAATTGTGTGTTTGATAAATTTCAGGTTGTTAAAGATACACGAAATTGGTGTCTATGAAGTAGTTACGCTACTTGGCGATAGATGGCGCTATCTACAATTATTCGGTGCACTTTTCGACTCATTTATTTGCTGTTTTATATGTCATTTTAAAAACGTGATAACGTTGTGTTTTTTAAGTATTTTTCGTTTTTAAATTTTGGTTCCTACCATTTTACATTGAATTGTGTATTTTATAGATTTTAGGTTATTAAAGGTACACGAAATTGGTGTCTATGTAGTAGTTGGCGATAGATGGAGCTGAGTGTTTATAAAATGGGGTAGCGTTGTTTTTTAAATATTTTTCGCTTTAAAATTTTGGTTCTAACCATTTTACATTAAATTGCGTATTTTAGAGATTTTAGGTTGTTAAAGGTACACGAAATCAGTGGCTACAATACTCAACAATTAGCAATTATATTGTACGCTGTTGTTTCAACGCTCGATAGATGGCGTTAGGATCGAGTTAGATGGCGCTATGGTTTCGTTACCGGCGAAAGTATAGGTTCCGAGCTTCCGTAACAATCGTGTTCCGGTGTACGCATCTACCACCCTAATTGATTAGTATTCGTTCGCTCTGTAGGTTTGAATATTCAAGTGTTGTTTTTCTAGGTATATATGTTGATCTATAAAATAAAACAAAACGAAGGTACTTAACGTGATTTTTTAACTGAAGGTAATTGAAGGGATGGATAGTCACATAGGCTACTTTTTATCCTTTTGTGACGCGAGCGAAGCCGCGGGTAAAAGCTAGTATTTAAATAAACTGTGTGTAAATGACTGCTTCGTCGGCCAAGTGGTCGCAAATGCGACTGCTGTGCAACGGGTCGCGGATTCGATTCCCGGGTCGGGCAAAGTATTACTGGGTTTTAAAAAAAATCTCATTAGTAGCACGATTTCTGGAGTTGTGTCCGGTATATAGATCCGGCAATCGGCTCGCCCCTTATTACATGGGACGTAACATAACTAGTGAAAAGTGGGTGTTACATTGCACAGTAGCATTAAGTGCCGCAATGTGAATCTCTGCCTATCCCTTGGGGGATAAAGCCCTAATGTTATGTTAAATAAATGTATGTACTTATATTAAAAACATATTTAAACACTAACTTCCCTGCCGGTTTCCTCTTCAAGACATTGTGGCCATCGTGCTACATAGGAAAATGCTACATTCTCGACTAATGTACATAGAAGAATATATGTAGCATGTATACAGAGTAAGTACAGCTAGGAAGTGGCAAATATATAGCCAATCGATACGATAACTAAGTTGGCGGTGGATATTGCATCTGTCGTAAGGCTCCGAGAGCGGACGTCGATCCACACTACTGGAAAATTTATATTGGCGTTTAGAGGACGCGTTGTGTGTTAACAAATTCATGTAGGTGGATTTTTTTTATGCCATAAGCCGGTAAACAAGACGGATCACCTGATGGTAAGCAATCGGCGTCGCCCATGGTCACCGGGAACACCAGTGGCGTTACAAGTGCGTTACCGGCGTTTTGGGGATTAGGAGTTTGAGGATCGTTGGGGATTCAGGGATTGGGGAGATTGGGGAAGGGGAGCGTAATTGGGCCTCCGGTAAACTCACGCACACAACGAAACACTACGCAAGCGTTGCTTCACGCCGGTTTTCTGTGAGGCCGTGGTATCACTCGTGCCGAAGCATGGCTCTCCCACACTTGAAATTGGCTCTCCCACACATGTGGATTGTTGCATTTTTAATTAACGTACACATAACACATAACATCACGCCTTTTTATCCCCGAAGGGGTAGGCAGAGGTGCACATTATACCACTGTACAATGTAACACCCACTTTTCACTATTTATGTTATGAGTCCCATGTAATAGGGGGTGAGCCTATTGCCATATACCGGGCACAATTCCAGACTCCGTGCTACTACTGAGAATATTTAAAAAACCCAGTAATACTTTGCCCGACCCGGGAATCGAACCCGAGACCCCTTGTCCGGCAGTCGCACTTACGACCACTCGGCCAACGAGGCAGTCATTTTTTTTTAACGTATTTATTTATTTATTTTTTTTTTTAAATTTAATTAACGTAGTGTTTTATTTATAAAAAAAAGTTGTCTCACGCTAGGATTTTCTTCTGTGTCGTGGGTGCGTTTACGAACATGCAAGTTCACATACATATGACACCTAGACCCGGAACAAAAATCTGTGGATCACCCAAAGAGTTGCTCCGTGTATAACCTAACCCGCGACACGTTGCGTGGTAGCCAGTTACCCAGCCACCGCGTCAATCGTGCAGTATCGATACTAAAAGCAGTAGTACGTAATAGTAAATACCTAACACCTAAATTAGAAGTAGGTATAACTTGTACCTAACTTCTTTTGTTACCTACAAAATTATTTGAATTTGAAAATTAAATAATATATCTTTTTTTAGGTACTGGGGTTCCGTAGAAAATTTAACCAACTTAATACTTGTAGATTTAAAGGTAGGTTGGTTATGTGACCCGTTAAAAAGGAAGTAGTGCTTACCGACGCTTGCCAATAGAGTTACGCCTTCAATTTTTCTGTGGAGTTAGAAATTATGTCTTTATGAAGGAGATAATAAATTTTACATTAACTTCCTTTACATGGTACCTATCTATAATATTTGTTTAAGAAGTTGTTAGTCCATGTTAGCAAAAAAAAAAAGTTTTTAGTTGGACATGCAATGAAACAATGAAATTAGTTGTTGAGGGTTTAAAAAATAGAGATCAAAATACTTTTTAAGATACCTAGACTGTTATTTTGACTTTCAATCGACTTACATAGATTTTTTTTAAGGGGGGAAAATCATCGAATTACTTTCCCGCCTAGGATGAGGCGGGAGGGAGTGTTAGACTCTTACTGACTAAAAACCACCCCGTTCCTTCTCCTGCACGTCCAACCAGAACCCCGGTTACCAGTTAGATTCTCGGCGACTCCAAGACTTACATGTATAAATAACAAAACCAGAATAATGTCAAAAACATGGAACTCGGACACTTGAAAGAAGTCGAATATTTGCTATGCAAATAGTCGTACTTTTTACGAGAATCGGAAAAACTTTTCGACAGATCGACGAGTGATTTAGGACACTAACCTATATTTTCGTAGAAATGTTATAGGACTTCTTATTTTTTAGCCTTCAATCTTTTTTTGAAGTCGTGTAAGTGTTGCGAGTGACACCAGTAAAGAGTATTTAATAGATCTTTGCGAGGCTTATTTTTTTAAGGGGGGAAAATCATCGAATGACTGCTCCAGCCTGGGTGAGGCGGTAGGGAGTGTCAGACTATTACTGTCTAAAAACCACCCCGTTCCTTCTCCTGCACGTCGAGCCGGAGCCCCGATAACCCGTTAGGTTCTCCGCTACTCATCTTTGCATAGCTTAGATCTTTGTATTTCGTTATAATATTGTATGAAGTATGTACCAACTGGTCTGGAGCATAACCGTCTCCTGAAAAACCTTATTTCGGGATATAGGCTGCTAGCCTACATTATATTTGTAAAAGGTTTTCAAACTGCGGATGTGTATTCGCGGAAATAACATTATTTTCGTCAGACCTCCCCTTATACAGGCATTCAGGTACGCTGATGCAAAGCAAAGGGTGTTAATGGACGAAATTGAACGGAAACGTAATTTCAAATCTCTTACAGCCCCCCATACGAGTCTGTTCATTGCAAAAATGGAGGAGTACTGAAAGTGCCATCATGTTTTTGACAGGTGAGTCTGTACCTCTCGGTTGTGTGTACATCCCTTGTCTGATATCCATCTACACGTGTGGGGCTCAGGACCATTTGTTTATTTAACACTTTATGGAGATATGGATAGCAATGGAATTAATTATTATGATTCCAGTTTACCATCAAAGCGATGGAAAGGAAATTGAACTAAACTTGGTTTCCTGAAATGAGGTGGTGTAGGTGTCTAAGTTAAAAACTTTTAAAAATCTCTGTCACTTTGAGTCCTATGATAGAGAAGTTAAGTATTACTATAATTATTATTTATTTAAGTATGTAGTGTAATGAATTGTACACCAAAACCCAAATACGTAACATGAGGCATTTGATACCTCCTGTCTGATATATGAGACATAATAGAAAACACTTTGTGTCTAACGTGTCTTTGTGTTCGGCATACGACGGGTTAAGGAACATAGAATTTAAATAATTTAACCTTCCCTGGACAACTGAACTCTGATATACTTACTTCACAATTAGCTACCACCAACCCACCAATCTCCCAGAGTTTACGACAAATCAGTACCATATACATCATCAATTTACTCAATAAAATCACCACATGGTATCCAGTATCGGGTAAATTATTCTATCAATCGTCGTTAAGCGCCTGTCAGACCAAAATCGGGTCGCTGCGGTACTTATTGCTTGTCGAAGCGGACTAGTGAACTGTCAAAATACAATTTAGTATCATCATCTAGCTTAATGGGCTGAAATCTGGTCTTGATAAATTGCTATAATGAATATCGAAGGTTTTTTGGCACGTGAATTAATGGTTGAGATGGTTACTGGTTAGCTTCAATAGGTACCTAGTGGAATGAAACGGGTCTAGTTTGGATATCATTTCCGTAGTCATAGTCATTTGGCTTATCGATTATACTATTTTCCATAGGACTATATCTAAATTAATCCACGTCAGAATAGAAAACATTAATCAACACCCCTTCTCTTCTAGCGGGAATAAGAATCTTTCTCATAAGATCTGACTGAGGAATTACGTATATAAAAGAAACTGCATGATCTTTTTATTTAAGTGTAGGAGAGCCATACTTTGGCACGAATGGGCCGGCTCAACCGGAGTGATACTACGGCCACAAAGAAAACCAACATGAAACAACGCTTGCGTTGTGTTTCGTCTTGTGAGTGAGGTTACCTGAGGCCCAATTACCTCCTCTCCCCAGTCTTTCCAATCTCCGAATACCCCACAGTCCTCAAATTCCCAATTCCCGAAAGGCCGGTAACGCACTTGTAACCCCTTGTCTTTTGGGTACCAATGGGCGACGCCGATTGCTTACCATCAGGTGATCTGTCTGCATATTTACCAGTTTATCCCATAAAAAAATCTACTCTACCTTCAGTTTAAGTCGAAGAGATATAAAACAAAGTGCAACTACAAAAGATGCACGTAACTTTCATTTTAAGAATCAATTTAGCTAATATGTCATGCCACACTAAAAGACGCATCATGTATAAACTGTCTCATATTGCATGTCACAGTTTTATAATACTTATCTAATATGGAACCTAACTCACTTATATACCACTTGGTACTTTAATATCCTGGAATCCCTGAAGCAACGGCCTTAATAAATGTTATAAGCAAACTCATTTTTCATACTAATAACAGAAAAAAGGTTCTTTGAGATACACATACATACAAACGTACCTACATTAGTATGTATATGTATAAAAGACATGAATCTGTGAAAAGTAGGTATAGGGATGCTAGATTTATATGTATTCGAATGTATTTTGATAGGTGGTGATGTTGTTTTATTTTATTATATTGCTAAAAAGGATTGAGTAAGTATAGATTTACTTAAAAAAAATACATATTAATTATCTGTATGCACAAAGACGATGAAAAAAGCCGGACAGTCTCTTGGAACAACGACTGCGGCACCTGGGCCTTTAGCCAAACGCCATTTTAGCGCTTGTCTATCGAGAGAGTAGAAAACTAAATGGATGGCACTGACAAGTGTCAAAATTTACGTCAATCCTTACTAATATTGTTGTAATAAGGTAAATATTATAATCTTAAGTTAAATAATATAAGTAGCGCCATCTAGTGTTAAGTTGGCAAGTTTCTCATAAACGTCGATATATTATCTGTATTCTCCCTTTTTGTCGTCTGCATGGCGCCCATCATGTGCTTTCTGTGAGATTTTTAATAAAACTACGAAATATAACAAGCTATTATCTATTATTCAACCACATCCACCACTTCAACATGGTAGCAGAGCGTGGTTAAGTGGTTTCACGAAAAAGTCAATAAATATGAAGTGCAATTATGAAATCAAATTACGATTGAGGTTATCCGGTCACAACGGAAAAGTTAGTTTTGAAAACGTCTGAATCTACAAGAATATACGTAAATATGGCACAACAAGCTAAAATAGAAGACATCATGATACCTATTTTTGATGGGGCAAACTATTCGAGTTGGAAATTAAGGTTGGTTACTTTGTTGGAATACAAAGAATGCAACGAGGCCGCCATAGGCATAATGCCGGTGAAATATAAAAATACAGAAGCGGAATGGAAGAAGATGGATTTAAAGGCAAGGACTATTATTATGAGTACTATTTCGGACAAACAATTAGAATATATCACTGAGTGCAAGACTGCTTTTGACATGTTACAAAAGTTCGACAAAATGTATCTTACTCAATCAACATCTCTTCAAATTATATGTCGAGGAAAAGTGGAAGCGATCAAATTAAATAATTACGACACAGTAGAGGATTTCTTCGTTGATTTTGAAAAATCCATAAACGAATTCAAAACAGCCGGAGGTAAAATTGATGAACCTGAAAAGTTAAGATACCTGCTCAGAGCCCTACCACCAAGTTATAGTTATATAGGAGATTTTCTGGACGTGATTCCTGAAGAACAAAGGACTGTGGACTATGTACATTCAAAAATAAAGGAGAAAAATATGACTATGTGCGATGACAAGAAAAATAATGTGAGTACATATACAACCAGCACCACAAGAGCTCAATGTTTTGTCTGTGGTAAGACTGGTCATCTCAAGAAGGATTGTTGGCACGCTCAGAGAAATAATCAAGGACAAAAAAGTTCTCAAGGAAGTTTCCAGTCGTCTAGTCGGGGTCAGCGAGGACATCAGAGAGGATCCTACAGAGGTCGCAGCCGAGGCAGAGGTCAAGGCCACTCATCTAGCAATCATCCTAAAGGTGAATCTTCGAGCAACGGTCCCTCCCAGTCATGGACAGCTGAAGTATGTAAACCAGAAGTAAACCAGGTATCCGGATGTAATGAAAAGGTAACATTTAATAATAATAGTAATGTAGTTAATTGGCTTTTAGATAGTGGGTGCACTGACCATCTTATAAATGATTATTCATATTTTTATGACAGTGTAGATTTGAAAGATTTTGTTGA